GGCTCCAGTCAGCGAGAGGGTGTGGACTTCTTTCAGACCTTCGCCCCGACCCCGAAGATGACTACTCTTTGGGTGCTGCGACACGTAGCAGCACAGCGTGACTACGAGCTCCACTCCCTCGACTTCTCCACTGCTTTTCTTTAGGGCAGCCTATACGAGCAGGTCTACATGCGCCGTCCTCAGGGCTTCACCAGAACCTTCCCTCCTGGGACCCAGTGGCTCCTCCAACGCCCAATCTACGGCCTGCGACAGGCACTCTGTGTGTGGCACGACACTCTGCGTGCTACGCTAGCTGACCTACAGTTCTTCCCATCGTTTGCAGACCCCTTGCTCTTCGTTCGTGCTGGCCAGAATCTGTTCTACATCCTTGTCTAGGTAGACGACCTGGTCTTCGCTACTGCTCGTGTACTACTCGTTTTAAGCTTTTAATCTATCCGCTAAGATTTTCATAGGATTTCTTCCGACCTGACTTTCTCAGAATAGCGCGTCGGGAGTAGGAAGCAGGAGCAGGAAGCAGTAGCAGGAAGCAATAGCATGAAGTAGTAGCAGGAAGCAGTAGCAGGAAGCACGACGTGAGAAACAGTCGTCGCACGCGAAGAAATATCGTCGCGCGAGATGGGACGACAGATCGTCGTATCGCACGGTTAGGGTTGTCGCACGGTTGCAATGACTTTTCACTGGGGGACGAAGCGTTTGGTGACGATAGAAATTGCTACTTTGCGGCGCACTTCCACGGTGAGTCGTGTTTTTTTTTTTTTTTTTTTTTTTTTTTTTTTTTTTGTAACTGTTGTATGTCTGAGTAGTTCTTGGAAACAAGAGGGTTAGTTCTTTGGTCTAGAAAACAAGTGGGTTAATGTTTTGGTCTACGAAACAAGAGGGTTATTGTCTTGATCTAGGAAACAAGAGGGTCAGTGTCTTGATCTAGGAAGCAATAGGGTTAGTGTTTTGGTCTAAGAAACAAGAGGGTTGGTGTTTTGGTCTAGGAAACAAGAGGGTTAGTATTTTAGTGTAGGAAACGAGAGGTTTAGTTTTTTTGGTATAGGAAACAAAAGGTTTAGTTTGATCTAGGAAACAAGAGGGTGAGTGTTTTGGTATAGAAAACAAGAGGGTTAGTGTCTGGGTCAAGGAAACAAACAAGAGGGTCTTATGTTTTCCCAGACCAAAACACTAATCATCTTGTTCCTAGACCAAAACACTAACCCTCTTGTTTCCTGAACCAATACACTAACCCTCTGCTGTGTAAGCGCGGTGTCAAACTAGGGGGTGAGTTCTTCTGTTCAAACGGGCCTCCAATCATGCCGTTCTGGTGGGAATAATCTATACGCCCGTTCTGTTTTGTCTGTGGGTGTTTTATCAGCTATGATCCATCTTGCAAGCGTCCAGCAAAGTAAGGTACGACAGTTCTGTCTTTCTATGGGCATTCTATCAACTACAGCGACGGAAAGTATTGCCCGGATAAAATCAAATTTTTGGTTAAACAAATGTTTTGAATGCTTTCAACCGATGTATCGTTGAATCTTCAAAGCTGACTAGTAAGTAACGAGTGCCAGCTGCATTAGGGTAACACGTTTTTGATTTGGTGTGGTCGCACTAATAGCGTGGACAAGATTTCAGTCGCGTGAGTGCATCCGGACAGTTTCGGCCAAGCAGCGGACTAGATCCGTTTTCGACTAGCGCATTCTCTCCATAGTTCCGAACGCTATCGTCGAGTAGTGAGAGTAGAGTTTATACCCGAGGCGTAGACTACGCCAAGATGAGACCGATAGATGAGGCTCGTCGCGCCCGGATCATAGCACTGTTGCGTAGGGGGTACAGCACGAGGCAAATCGCGAAACAGGTTGGCGTTGGGAAAAGCACAGTACACGATTTCGGACTCAAGGAGATTTTAGAGACTAGTCTTGAGGACGTACGTCCTACAATGCCCATTGCTGGTCGTCCACGCGTACTTACGAATAGAATTCGTCGTGGGATCGTCAGGGCGATCACTAGCGGCGAGGCGAAAACCTCGAGGCATGCGGCCCAGATCGTCGAATCCCAGCACGGCATCACGGTGCATCCTAGGACGGTGCGTAATGCGCTCAAATCCAGCGGCCTTATCGCAGTTCAGCAGCCTAAGAAGTCGCGACTCTCCAAGAAAAATATCCGCGATAGGCTGGCGTTCGCACGGGCCCACGCGGATTGGACCATAGATGATTGGCGCCGGGTCATATGGTCGGATGAGACGAGGATTAGTAGGTTCGGCTCTGACGGCCGCGCGTACGCCTGGGTCCGTGAAGGTACGACTTTCCAACACCACCAGATCAAGCAAACCGTCAAACACGGGGGCGGTGGCTTGATGCTATGGGGATGTATGACGTTTGAGGGGGCGGGTTTCATGTGCAAAATCGATGGTCGGATGGATGGGCCGCTGTATCTGAGCATTTTGCAAGACGAGCTGAAGAAAACCATCGACTTTTACAAGCTAACCCCCTCGGCTATGATCTTCCAGCATGATAATGACCCCAAGCATAAGTCCCGTGTGGTGCAGCAGTGGCTTCAGGAACAAGAGTATGGGGTCCTGGAGTGGCCGGCAGGAAGTCCTGATCTGAACCCCATTGAGCATCTTTGGGCTCATCTTAAAACGGAGCTGGGTAAGTATGAGACACCTCCTACTGGTATGGTGGACCTATGGGAGCGTGTACAAGAGGAGTGGGAGAAGATCCCATCAGAGGTGTGCTCCAATTTGATCGACAGCATGCCCAGGAGGGTGAAAGCAGTGATTAGGGCTAAAGGGCGGTGGACCAGGTACTAGTTTAAGGGTTGTTTAAGTTGCTGCTTCCGCCTGGAACTAATTGTCCACATGCACCGTGATTGGTTATGTTTGCTTTTTACTACAAACCATAGTAGTTTCATCAACTGTGCAGCATTTTTTTGTGTCCCTAGATTGGCCTGCATATAGTGGGTAATGCCTCCAATTAAGGCTTAATGTACAAATGCCCTTTAACGTCACGAATTCAAAAAATTGCCAGACATGTGGACAATTCTTTCCGTCGCTGTATGTTCCTGCTTGCTTGCAAGCGTCCAGCACAGATAAGTAGACGGTTTTGTCTTTCTTTGGGCGTTCTATCAACTATGTTCCTGCTTGCTTGCAAGCATCCAGCACAGTAAAGTAGACGGTTTTGTCTTTCTTTGGGCGTTCTATCAACTATGTTCCTGCTTGCTTGCAAGCGTCCAGCACAGTAAGGTATGACGGTTTTGTCTTTCTTTGGGCGTTCTATCAACTATGTTCCTGCTTGCGTTCGACTTGACAGTTTCCTTCTTCCTTGACAGTTTTCTTCTTCCTTCATTGTTTCCTTCTTCCTTCACTGTTTCGTTCTTCCTTGACTCCTTCGTTCTTCCTTGACTCTTTCGTTCTTCCTTCACTGTTTCCTTCTTCCTTGACAGTTTCGCTCCTCAGTGTTGTCCTGTGCCAACAGGCTGTTTTGTATGAATAATCCTTATCCTACCATTTCCCCCACGGACAAGGCAGGAGCAAAGCAATGGAAGCTGTTGCGAGGACCGGGGAGGGCCCACTCGAGGGGTGTCTCTTGTTTCGAGGTGCCTCAAAGCCGAGTCTTTTGAGGCGCCTCACCTTTTCTAACTCTTGTGTGCCCCTTGATGCCATGAATTGAGGCGTGAATGAAAGGGGTGTGGTGTGGCAGTGAGTGGGGTGGCATGTATGGTGTTGCATGCATGGTGTGGCATGTATGGTGTGCCATGTATGGTGTGGCATGTATGGTGTGGCATGTATGGTGTGGCATGCATGGTGTGGCATGCATGGTGTGGCGTGTATGGTGTGGCATGTATGTTGTGCCATGTATGGTGCGGCATGTCTGGTGTGGCATGTATGGTGTGCCATGTATCGTGTGACATGTATGGTTTGGCATGTATGGCGAGCCATGTGTGGGCATGTATGGTGTGCCATGTATGGTGTGACATGAGTCGTTGACAGGTCTTCGAGAGCCTGGCGGCTCAAGGGCGTGCAATCCAGCATGACAGTCTCAAGGGCGCGCAATCCAGCATGGCAGTCTCAAGGGCATCCAATCCAGCATGACAGTCTCAAAGGCACGCAATCCAGCATCACAGTCTCAAGGGCGTGCAATCCAGCATGGCAGTCTCAAGGGCGCGCAATCCAACATGGTAGTCTCAAGGGCATCCAATCCAGCATGACAGTCTCAAAGGCGCACAATCCAGCGTGACAGTCTCAAGGGAGTGTAATCCAGCATGACAGTCTCAAGGGCGCGGAATCCAGCATGGCAGTCTCAAGGGCCTGCAATCCAGCATGACAGTCTCAAGGGAGTGCAATTCAGCATGGCAGTCTCAAGGGCGTGCAATCCAGCATGGCAGTCTCAAGGGCGTGCAATCCAGCATGGCAGTCTCAAGGGCGTGCAATCCAGCGTGGCAGTCTCAAGGGCGCGCAATCCAGCATGGCAGTCTCAAGCGCTTGCAATCCAGCGTGACAGTCTCAAGGGCGTGCAATCCAGCATGACAGTTTCAAGGGCTTGCAATCCAGCATGGCAGTCTCAAGGACTTGCAATCCAGCATGGCAGTTCAACAAAGCAAGCCAGGATGACCGTTGGCCGCTCAACGTCCCATGGACCAAACTCCCCATCAGTGACATACCAGCAGAGCAGCAGCCCGTTGCGGCTGCCCATAGCAGCGAAAGGCGCCAGTCACCAGTGTTTAGGCTTGAATGGAGGCTTTACTGCGCTCGATGTTGAGTGCAGTAGTAGGCTAAACACTTCACCGCAGTGCTGGGCAGCAAGTTGCTGGTTATTTATTGAAAGCTTTTCTCCAAACAGGAGATTATTGAAGAGATTGGATAACCTCTCCGGTCTGGACTAAAGCGCTTTTTATTGTCTCCTGTATTTGAAACAGAACCAGACTGGACTAGCCAAGAGGGTGGGTGGAGGTTGACCAAGGGTCATTCTTATCACGCATTAACAGGAAAACCCTTTGCAGAGGTAGGCAAGAGCTCTAAGCACGAATAAGCAACAGTATAAATGCAGCGACAGAATATGTACCGAGTCAATACGCATCTGTCCTTTTTGCATGTCATAGGCAAGTGGGACTAGTGGGCTTCCAATACAGGTAGCCCCAGAGACTCTGGTGTGGTGCACTATGAGAGAATGCATTCTATGTGAATATATTCCTACCTATCACATGCACCATGCGTACTGTGAGCATTTGGAGCTAACATGTATGCACTAATCAAGCTATGAGCAATTAGGCCTCATATGATTTTTGAGGCGCCTAAAAAATCATCTGGTGAATGCTATGTGCCCTGGGGCAAAGTACTGGTGCTTCGTCTCCGCTTGGCATTGCGAATTGCAGCATCTTCCCTGCAGGCAAGCAAGCACACAGGCAGGCAAGCAAGCAAGCAAGCAAGCAGGTGCGTGCAATGAGACACACCAGGGGCCACAACGCGAGAAGGTGCAGGGGGACGAAGCAGCACCTAACAGGGGAAACATGGAGAGGCAGCGGCTTACAGGGGGCAGAGACAGCAGCTTACAGGGGGGACGAGGCAATAGCAGGAGCGGCAGTGAGAGCGACACTATGGGATGCCCGCTTGGACTTGCTCCTCTCCTTGCGCTCCTTGCGACTGATGGGCGGGGACGGGATGGGGAGGGGAGGGGGGGGGGGGGGGGGGGGGTGGTGAGGGGCGGGGTTAGTGAGGAGAGAGGGATGGTGAGGGGAGGGGGGTGGTGAGGGGGAGAAATAGAGAGGTGGAGGGAGAGAAGGGGTGACGTAGAGGCAGAGGGGCCATGGGGGAAGTGGACAAGCGGGCATGGCAGAGTATGGCAGAGTATGGCAGTGCACACTCTATTGAGAATGGAATGGGACAAAGAAAGTTGATGGGGTGGGATGAGGCGGGGTGCAATGGATGCCAGGGCTGTAGACTCACTCTTGCAGCATGAGGGAGGGGTTGCGGCAGTATTTGAGTTTTCTGTCGATCCGCTTGACCACATCAGCTGCAGGCAGAGGGCCGGATGACTTCACCTGGTGGGGCGGCAGAGGGAGTGAAAGGGACCTGACCTGTGAGTGAAAGGGATGAGTATGTGGAGGGTACGTGACCTGTGAGTATGTGGAGGGTACGTGACCTGTGAGTATGGGATGTGTGCGAACGACGCATGCGATGCGGAAAAAAACGGACTTCTTCTTCTTCTTTTTCTTCGCATGCGATGCGGAAATGGAACGTGTACGATGCCATGCGACTGCCCCTACGGGAATGGACTGTTAGAGAGTGAGACTCCCCCCTCCCCCCCCCCCCCCCCAATCGCCCCTCTCACCATGTGCTCTATGCTCTTAACAGCTGCCAGCAGCCCAGCCGCAGTGTGTGGATGGCCAGATGACGCATGACCGTTGGCAGCCGCCCCTGCAGCACCCCGTGGGGCTGCTGCCACTATGGACTCAAGCAGACTGGAGTGGGGGTGCAGGGGGAGTTGGGGGGAGTTGGGGGGGGTTGGGGACGGTATGAGGGTTGAAAGAAAGGTCAAGCATTGGATATCAGTGTGTGGATATTAGACCGGATACATCCATTATACAGAATGCATTATGCACCATACACCATGCTTCACATGCATTCAACCACGTATCATTCACCATCCACCACGCCCTTACATCATGCACCATATGCCATATGCCAAATGCCACACTCTATCTGCCATGCACAAAATGCAACCCGTCTAATGCACCATGCACCATGCGCCATGCGCCATGCGCCATGCGCCATGCGACATGCGCCATGCGCCATGCGCCATGCGCCATGCGCCATGCGCCATGCGCCATGCGCCATGCGACATGTGCACCTTTGGAAGCTGGGGATGGCACAGGAGGCATTGTTGGCGAGCTTGATGGCCGCCAGAGCCAGCTGGCTGCATGGCGGTGGGAAGGAGGAGGAGTAGCAAAGAGCACATGGCGAATGCTGCATGCTTGGCATGGTACTTGGAATGCAAGGTCATCTTTGGCGAGCTTAATGGCTGCCAGAGCAAGCTGGCTGCAGGGGCGTGGGGAAGAACGGAGTAAAAAGCGCACATGGCGCAGGGCAGGGTACACATGGTACAGGGTACATGGAAGGATGACAGGTGATGCGTTGTTGGCGAACTTGATGGCTACAGGAGGGGGAGACGAGAGCATGAGACGCATCTACACGCTTGTTACAGGGTCACCAAGGAAACAGCAAGGGAGAGCAGAGCACACATGGGGGGAGGGGGGGGAGGAGGACGGGAGAGAGAGAGCAGAAACAGCATGATGTATGGGACCACATGTAGCCACTGACAGAAACAGAAACAGAACATAGATGGGGCACAAGGATAAGAGAACAGAAACAACCAATACATCATGCTGTGCTGTGAGGACCCACTGACCTTGGAGGGAAGAGCAGCGGAGCATCGGTGAGGAAGATCGAACTCACGGCAGCATTTGCCCCATGGGTTAGGGTCTGGCGAGGAGGGAGGAAAGAGAGAGGACACGAGCGGATAGGCGGAGAGAGGCAGGAGGGGAAGGCGGAGGGCAAAAGCACGGAAGTGACACGAAACACAAACACGAAAGGCTGTTGCCCCTCCTGAAGGGCGGGAGGTGCGAGGGACTGGAGAGATGAAGGGGATGCGACAGCGGAATGTGGGAGATGTAGGAAACATGCGATGCGAGAAGACAATCACATGAGTGCATGAGAGGATGGGCACATGAATTCGTGTGTATGAGTACAGCCACATACGGAGTGAATAGAGACAGACAGCATAGTTAGATGGTAGATGGGTGCATGAGGATGAGCACAAAGTGTGGCACTTGCCTTTTGAGTCGACTCAAAAGTCATCTCGCATAGCTAGATGGGTGCATGAGGATGAGCACAGAGTGCGGCACTTGCCTTTTGAGTCGACTCAAAAGTCATCTCGCATAGCTAGATGGGTGCATGAGGATGAGGATGAGCACAGAGTGCGGCACTTGCCTTTTGAGTCGACTCAAAAGTCATCTCGCATAGCTAGATGGGTGCATGAGGATGAGGATGAGCACGGAGTGCGGCACTTGCCTTTTGAGTCGACTCAAAAGTCATCTCGCAGAGCTAGATGGGTGCATGAGGATGAGGATGAGCACGGAGTGCGGCACTTGCCTTTTGAGTCGACTCAAAAGTCATCTCGCATAGCTAGATGGGTGCATGAGGATGAGGATGAGCACAGAGTGCGGCACTTGCCTTTTGAGTCGACTCAAAAGTCATCTCGCAGAGCTAGATGGGTGCATGAGGATGAGGATGAGCACGGAGTGCGGCACTTGCCTTTTGAGTCGACTCAAAAGTCATCTCGCATAGCTAGATGGGTGCATGAGGATGAGGATGAGCACGGAGTGCGGCACTTGCCTTTTGAGTCGACTCAAAAGTCATCTCGCATAGCTAGATGGGTGCATGAGGATGAGGATGAGCACGGAGTGCGGCACTTGCCTTTTGAGTCGACTCAAAAGTCATCTCGCATAGCTAGATGGGTGCATGAGGATGAGGATGAGCACGGAGTGCGGCACTTGCCTTTTGAGTCGACTCAAAAGTCATCTCGCATAGCTAGATGGGTGCATGAGGATGAGCACAGAGTGCGGCACTTGCCTTTTGAGTCGACTCAAAAGTCATCTCGCAGAGCTAGATGGGTGCATGAGGATGAGGATGAGCACGGAGTGCGGCACTTGCCTTTTGAGTCGACTCAAAAGTCATCTCGCAGAGCTAGATGGGTGCATGAGGATGAGGATGAGCACGGAGTGCGGCACTTGCCTTTTGAGTCGACTCAAAAGTCATCTCGCAGAGCTAGATGGGTGCATGAGGATGAGGATGAGCACGGAGTGCGGCACTTGCCTTTTGAGTCGACTCAAAAGTCATCTCGCAGAGCTAGATGGGTGCATGAGGATGAGGATGAGCACGGAGTGCGGCACTTGCCTTTTGAGTCGACTCAAAAGTCATCTCGCATAGCTAGATGGGTGCATGAGGATGAGCACAGAGTGCGGCACTTGCCTTTTGAGTCGACTCAAAAGTCATCTCGCAGAGCTAGATGGGTGCATGAGGATGAGGATGAGCACGGAGTGCGGCACTTGCCTTTTGAGTCGACTCAAAAGTCATCTCGCAGAGCTAGATGGGTGCATGAGGATGAGGATGAGCACGGAGTGCGGCACTTGCCTTTTGAGTCGACTCAAAAGTCATCTCGCAGAGCTAGATGGGTGCATGAGGATGAGGATGAGCACGGAGTGCGGCACTTGCCTTTTGAGTCGACTCAAAAGTCATCTCGCAGAGCTAGATGGGTGCATGAGGATGAGGATGAGCACGGAGTGCGGCACTTGCCTTTTGAGTCGACTCAAAAGTCATCTCGCAGAGCTAGATGGGTGCATGAGGATGAGGATGAGCACGGAGTGCGGCACTTGCCTTTTGAGTCGACTCAAAAGTCATCTCGCAGAGCTAGATGGGTGCATGAGGATGAGGATGAGCACGGAGTGCGGCACTTGCCTTTTGAGTCGACTCAAAAGTCATCTCGCAGAGCTAGATGGGTGCATGAGGATGAGATGAGCACGGAGTGCGGCACTTGCCTTTTGAGTCGACTCAAAAGTCATCTCGCAGAGCTAGATGGGTGCATGAGGATGAGGATGAGCACGGAGTGCGGCACTTGCCTTTTGAGTCGACTCAAAAGTCATCTCGCAGAGCTAGATGGGTGCATGAGGATGAGGATGAGCACGGAGTGCGGCACTTGCCTTTTGAGTCGACTCAAAAGTCATCTCGCAGAGCTAGATGGGTGCATGAGGATGAGGATGAGCACGGAGTGCGGCACTTGCCTTTTGAGTCGACTCAAAAGTCATCTCGCAGAGCTAGATGGGTGCATGAGGATGAGGATGAGCACGGAGTGCGGCACTTGCCTTTTGAGTCGACTCAAAAGTCATCTCGCAGAGCTAGATGGGTGCATGAGGATGAGGATGAGCACGGAGTGCGGCACTTGCCTTTTGAGTCGACTCAAAAGTCATCTCGCAGAGCTAGATGGGTGCATGAGGATGAGCACGGAGTGCGGCACTTGCCTTTTGAGTCGACTCAAAAGTCATCTCGCAGAGCTAGATGGGTGCATGAGGATGAGGATGAGCACGGAGTGCGGCACTTGCCTTTTGAGTCGACTCAAAAGTCATCTCGCAGAGCTAGATGGGTGCATGAGGATGAGGATGAGCACGGAGTGCGGCACTTGCCTTTTGAGTCGACTCAAAAGTCATCTCGCAGAGCTAGATGGGTGCATGAGGATGAGGATGAGCACGGAGTGCGGCACTTGCCTTTTGAGTCGACTCAAAAGTCATCTCGCAGAGCTAGATGGGTGCATGAGGATGAGGATGAGCACGGAGTGCGGCACTTGCCTTTTGAGTCGACTCAAAAGTCATCTCGCAGAGCTAGATGGGTGCATGAGGATGAGGATGAGCACGGAGTGCGGCACTTGCCTTTTGAGTCGACTCAAAAGTCATCTCGCAGAGCTAGATGGGTGCATGAGGATGAGGATGAGCACGGAGTGCGGCACTTGCCTTTTGAGTCGACTCAAAAGTCATCTCGCAGAGCTAGATGGGTGCATGAGGATGAGGATGAGCACGGAGTGCGGCACTTGCCTTTTGAGTCGACTCAAAAGTCATCTCGCAGAGCTAGATGGGTGCATGAGGATGAGGATGAGCACGGAGTGCGGCACTTGCCTTTTGAGTCGACTCAAAAGTCATCTCGCAGAGCTAGATGGGTGCATGAGGATGAGGATGAGCACGGAGTGCGGCACTTGCCTTTTGAGTCGACTCAAAAGTCATCTCGCAGAGCTAGATGGGTGCATGAGGATGAGGATGAGCACGGAGTGCGGCACTTGCCTTTTGAGTCGACTCAAAAGTCATCTCGCAGAGCTAGATGGGTGCATGAGGATGAGGATGAGCACGGAGTGCGGCACTTGCCTTTTGAGTCGACTCAAAAGTCATCTCGCAGAGCTAGATGGGTGCATGAGGATGAGGATGAGCACGGAGTGCGGCACTTGCCTTTTGAGTCGACTCAAAAGTCATCTCGCAGAGCTAGATGGGTGCATGAGGATGAGGATGAGCACGGAGTGCGGCACTTGCCTTTTGAGTCGACTCAAAAGTCATCTCGCAGAGCTAGATGGGTGCATGAGGATGAGGATGAGCACGGAGTGCGGCACTTGCCTTTTGAGTCGACTCAAAAGTCATCTCGCAGAGCTAGATGGGTGCATGAGGATGAGGATGAGCACGGAGTGCGGCACTTGCCTTTTGAGTCGACTCAAAAGTCATCTCGCAGAGCTAGATGGGTGCATGAGGATGAGGATGAGCACGGAGTGCGGCACTTGCCTTTTGAGTCGACTCAAAAGTCATCTCGCAGAGCTAGATGGGTGCATGAGGATGAGGATGAGCACGGAGTGCGGCACTTGCCTTTTGAGTCGACTCAAAAGTCATCTCGCAGAGCTAGATGGGTGCATGAGGATGAGGATGAGCACGGAGTGCGGCACTTGCCTTTTGAGTCGACTCAAAAGTCATCTCGCAGAGCTAGATGGGTGCATGAGGATGAGGATGAGCACGGAGTGCGGCACTTGCCTTTTGAGTCGACTCAAAAGTCATCTCGCAGAGCTAGATGGGTGCATGAGGATGAGGATGAGCACGGAGTGCGGCACTTGCCTTTTGAGTCGACTCAAAAGTCATCTCGCAGAGCTAGATGGGTGCATGAGGATGAGGATGAGCACGGAGTGCGGCACTTGCCTTTTGAGTCGACTCAAAAGTCATCTCGCAGAGCTAGATGGGTGCATGAGGATGAGGATGAGCACGGAGTGCGGCACTTGCCTTTTGAGTCGACTCAAAAGTCATCTCGCAGAGCTAGATGGGTGCATGAGGATGAGGATGAGCACGGAGTGCGGCACTTGCCTTTTGAGTCGACTCAAAAGTCATCTCGCAGAGCTAGATGGGTGCATGAGGATGAGGATGAGCACGGAGTGCGGCACTTGCCTTTTGAGTCGACTCAAAAGTCATCTCGCAGAGCTAGATGGGTGCATGAGGATGAGGATGAGCACGGAGTGCGGCACTTGCCTTTTGAGTCGACTCAAAAGTCATCTCGCAGAGCTAGATGGGTGCATGAGGATGAGGATGAGCACGGAGTGCGGCACTTGCCTTTTGAGTCGACTCAAAAGTCATCTCGCAGAGCTAGATGGGTGCATGAGGATGAGGATGAGCACGGAGTGCGGCACTTGCCTTTTGAGTCGACTCAAAAGTCATCTCGCAGAGCTAGATGGGTGCATGAGGATGAGGATGAGCACGGAGTGCGGCACTTGCCTTTTGAGTCGACTCAAAAGTCATCTCGCAGAGCTAGATGGGTGCATGAGGATGAGGATGAGCACGGAGTGCGGCACTTGCCTTTTGAGTCGACTCAAAAGTCATCTCGCAGAGCTAGATGGGTGCATGAGGATGAGGATGAGCACGGAGTGCGGCACTTGCCTTTTGAGTCGACTCAAAAGTCATCTCGCAGAGCTAGATGGGTGCATGAGGATGAGGATGAGCACGGAGTGCGGCACTTGCCTTTTGAGTCGACTCAAAAGTCATCTCGCAGAGCTAGATGGGTGCATGAGGATGAGGATGAGCACGGAGTGCGGCACTTGCCTGAGCGGCCTGCTTCTTTGCCTCCTCGGGCTGACTCGCCAAGGGCTCCCCTAGCAGCTGCACGGGAGAGTAGAGGGTTCATAGAGTGAGAAACGAGGTGAGTGAGCCTCGAGGTGAGATCCACCCCTAGCAGCTGCGAGGGAGGAGGACGATTAAGACGGGAAGGGGAGGAGGACGATTAAGGCGGGAAGGGGAGGGGGACGATTAAGGCGGGAAGGGGAGGAGGACGATTAAGGCGGGAAGGGGAGGATGACGATTAGGGCGCAAAGGGGAGGAAAATGAGGCGGGAAGGGGCGGGATTCGGGAGGAAAAGGGGCAATGGCGTTCTAAACAAAGGCTGATGAGCGGCAAAAGGCACCCGTAGCAACTGCAAGGAAGGAAAGCAAGAAAGCGGCTTGAGGAAACGAAGAGAAGGGGCAGAGAGGGGAGAGGAGAGAGGAGAGAGGAGAGATGAGAGGAGGGAGAAAAAGAAAAGGAAAAAAAAGGGATGAGGCTTGAATTGAAGCGAGCTGCAACGAGCTGGAAATTTTTGCATGGATCAATCAACGATCACATATTGATTAAACGTGGACCAGTCAAGGAAATGGATCTCCCACCTTATCTGTCCAACACGCCCCACGCGCTCCCACCTTTGTGGCCAGCGGCAGCTGGCCGCAGCTGGCCGCAGCTGGACGCTGCTGGCCACTGCTGGCCCTATAGGGGCCGAATCAGGTGAGCCCGAATTTCAGCGTCTGCAGCACCGCACGGTCACCTCCTTGTCCACCAGCAGCTGCGGTTCCTGCCAGATTCCTCTTGAACGTGTAACTAAGTGCCACGCATCATGCACGCACACTCAGTGCATCGTAACCCAGCATGAAGCCATCGATAGCCCTATAGGGCCCCAAGCAGATGAGGTCGAACTTGAGTGTCTGCAGCACCGTGACCTCGTGGTCCAGCACCAGCGTGGGGTCCTGCCAGATGCCTTGTGACAGTATCATGGACGCAACGCAACCCTCACTCACCATGTGCATCGTGTGCGGTGATACCTTGTCTAATTGCAGCATGAACCCGTCTATGGCCCTGTACGGCCCGTAGCAGATGAGGTCGAACTTGAGTGTCTGCAGCACCGTGACCTCGTGGTCCAGCACCAGCGGGGGGTCCTGCCAGATGCCTTGTGACAGTATCATGGACGCAACGCAACCCTCACTCACCATGTGCATCGTGTGCGGTGATACCTTGTCTAATTGCAGCATGAACCCGTCTATGGCCCTGTACGGCCCGTAGCAGATGAGGTCGAACTTGAGTGTCTGCAGCACCGTGACCTCGTGGTCCAGCACCAGCGGGGGGTCCTGCCAGATGCCTTGTGACAGTATCATGGACGCAACGCAACCCTCACTCACCATGTGCATCGTGTGCGGCGATACCTTGTCTAATTGCAGCATGAACCCGTCTATGGCCCTGTACGGCCCGTAGCAGATGAGGTCGAACTTGAGTGTCTGCAGCACCGTGACCTCGTTGTCCAGCACCAGCTGGGGGTCCTGCCCGATGCCCCGCCCGAACTCCTCCGCCGACACGTACACCTCGTCTACCTTACAGGCTATGTAGATGGCCGTCAGCCTGCACGGGAGGGGGGGCAGGGACCACCATGAGTCATGAGCCTCCTCTCCCGAACACCTCGTCCACCTTGCACGCTATGTAGATGGCCGTCAGCCTGCACGGAGGGAGGGTTGAGAGGCAGAGACAAACGTGGAGAGGAGAGGCATCACATCAGGAACCACGAGACTCCTCTGCCAGGGGTGGGGTGGAGGGGTGGGAAGGGATAGGGACCAGCACCATGAGTCATGAGCCTCCTCTCCCAACGCGCACACCTCGTCCGCCTTGCAGGCTGGCACGCAACGTAATGGCCATTAGCCCGAGGAAGGGAGAAGCCAGTAGCACCTCTTTCTATGGAAGACCCCAACAAGAAGAAATGCTCGTGGGAGTGCATGCATGCAGACGAGGGGGAAGATTCTTCCTTACATCAAGCCAGACCACTCGATTGACGCCCTTAACCGCTTTCCTTACATGATGCCTTTAGGGTCGTGTTCCATGACCGAGCACACGAGGAAGAACCGCTTGAAGTACTGTAGTGAGGTGGACTGTAAAGGGTACAGATGGATGGTGAGGTGGGAAAGTTTAGTCACATATTAGCAGGTGTATATAGGAACATTGATGACTGCGTAGGGGAATCCGGTAGCAAAAACAGCAACTCATGTGCATCTCATAGGGAAACGAACAGTGCTCAGATATCTTTTGAGGCGCCTCAAAAGTCGTCTCAGGTATAGCGCGACACAGTAATCTTATAAGGTAACAGTAATCTTATAAGGTAACAGTAATCTTATAAGGTAACAGTGCATGCATAGCAGCAGATTAACGCACGTATATCTTGTAGGGGAAGCGGAAGGCGGAGCAGACTTCTTGGATCTTGCCCTCGTAGTACCGACACATCACCCGCTCCTCCTCCTCACTCAACGCCTTGGGCCGCGGCGCCTCGCCGTTGTCCCCACTGCCCCCATTGCCCCCACTGCCTCCGCCTCCCCTGTCCCCTCCCGCTTCTGCCTGTGCACCGCCTATGACCCCCTCCCCATCCGCCCCTCTTCCGCCTCCTGCTGCTGCTGCTGTGGTGTGGCCGTCTGCTGACGTGGCGGCGTCTGATTGGCCCCTGGGCTCAACGAGGGCGGGGTTGAGCACCGCCTCTACCCTGCTGTGGCCGTGCTGGTGGGCGCGGAATGGGGGCACGTAAACCACGTTGACCAGCGTTGACCAGCGTTGATAACGGAAAATTGAATGTGTGTGGATTAAGATTGAACGGTCAGGATGGGATTCGAATGAGTGCAGCGGCAGGGAATCACGGGAAGGGCAGGAGGGGGTGTGCAAGGGTGTGAGTATTCGGTGGAGGGAGGGCGGGCGAGGGAACGAAAGGGAGTGGGGATGACGCCAAGGGAAGCAAGCAGTCTTCGACTCACTGCCACACCATTCTCGTCCGGCATCTCACCGCATCCCCACTGCATCTCACTGCACCTCAGCTCACCTTCTGAATGGCATCCACTGCTCTTTGGTTGTTCTTCACTCGCATCGTCGCCAGCTCAGCAGCGCTGAACATCCAACGGCTGCAGTGGCTCGACGTCCGCCACTCCGCCATGCGCGATCCTTCACGGCTGCTCTCTTCTAATCGATTCTCACTATGGTCGGCGCTCTCCTATCTGAGAGACTCTAAGACGCTCAGCCTTTAGGCTCGACAACTAAAAGCGATGGTCAGGCTTTTTCACTGCTTCGGCCACGGCCAGGACGCGAAGGACCATCTTTTGAGTCACCGTGGTGAAGCCGACGCTTCAACTTCACCAGCCGTGGCTCGAGAGACGCCTCCCGGTGAAGGCGTGAGGCGGACGGGATTATCCCATCTCCAGCTGACACGTGGCTGGGTGGAACTCGCAGAAACCGTCCTAGCGCCTGTCAACGCGAGCGGTTGAGGAATCCGCAGACGACTCGAATGATCGGACGAATAATAAGTAAGACGGACTGAGCGGACGATGCAAGGATCTCAATTCTACTTCTGTATGGTCGGCTGCTGAGTTGAATCTGCTGGCGGTTGGTGGAGAGCGGGGGGATGGCATGGCATGGCGTGGCATGGCATGGCATGGCATTGCTGGCTTGCCTAATTTGGGATGGAATATTTTTGGCAGCTAAGGTCGAACGACATAATGATTCCATCCACTTACCGAGCGTGTTCCTACAGGGTCTTATCGGGAGTTCCATTGCAAGACTACAGCTGCTGTTTCTACACAGACAAGATGATGGTCTACACACAGCCAACAGCTCACGATGTGCGTGAAATCAATATTTCCTACCTCTCATCACAAGGTATTTCTATTGAACAACTTGCCAGGGCTATCGGTACCGCGTACCAAAGCAGTGGCCGATGGCTTTCTACTAGACTAGTGGCCAGCTGGCCAATCACGCGGTATAAAGCACATGGTAACCTGGTAATGCCAGCACCCGACTCGAGATGCTACAAAGTGCAGAGCTGCTAAAACCGTAACTTATGAAACGAATGCAGGAATGGAGCGCGCGAGCTAGAGAGGTGGTGATGAGAGATCAGAGGAGCAGGGTGATGGGGTTGGCCACCAGCGACTTGAACTCCCCCATCCATTGGGCGCCCACGGCACCTGCAGCAGGACAATATAGCAAGAAAAAAGACGCAAAAAGCGCATCTAGTCTTATACCGTACCACATGATGCATGTTGCACACTACCGCATGCACTGCATGCACGCCTGGTTTGGATCTCATACATGACACATGACGCACGCACATGACACATCGAGCATAGCACATGCTGCGCATGCACTGTCAAGTGCACCTGCACCGTCAAGTGCACATGCACCGTCAAGTGCACATGCGGCATCAGCGCATGGCACATGGTGCACGTGCAACGCATGCAGCTGCATATGCAGCATCATTCAAGCAGTGGCTTGGGACGCTATGGACATGCACCGACGCCGAATTGCCACACGCCATTCAAAACGCGGTGACTGCATGAGAGTGACTACAGAGACCGGCTTCGACTGTCATCAACCGTTTCTGGAATCAAAAGCCTGCATGGAATCATCGTGAACCTCCCACATACATCTAGCCACCACCACTGTGGAACTTGCACGCACCATTTGGGGACCGGCTACGTACCATCCACGACACGGTGATCGCAGCTGAGAGTGACAGTGGAGTACGGCTGCACTGCGAACTCCCCAGCTGCTGCGCCCGGCACGACCCGCTCTTGCGCTGAGGACGGGGAGCGAGTGGCACGAGTGGCACACCATTGAATGCGCGTGGCACGAGTGGCACACCATTGAATGCGCGTGGCACGAGTGGCACACCATTGAATGCGAGTGGTAGGTGGGATGTGTGGCCTCATGGTGTGTGGCCTCATGATGTGCGGCCTCATGATGTGTGGCCTCATGATGTGTGGCCTCATGATGTGCGGCCTCATGATGTGCGGCCTCATGATGTGTGGCCTCATGATGTGTGGCCTCATGATGTGTGGCCTCATGATGTGTGGCCTCATGATGTGTGGCCTCATGATGTGTGGCCTCATGATGTGTGGCCTCATGATGCGTGGCCATTCAATGTGTCACCATGTGACGTGGGACTATTTCAGGAGCTGGCAGCATATGAGGCGTGAGCACATGATGTGTGACCATACATGGTGTAGAGGATGGTTACAAGCATAGAGAAAGGACGACATATTCACCGACGAAGCATGACGGTGGTGACTGGGGTATGCGGCGTTTTGAAACAGGACCGATGAGAGCCGTCTTACCGGAGCCAATGGTGAGGAAGCAGGACTGCGGCGGGTGGATGATGGCCGACAGGGACTTGAGCCCCACCCCACTCACATCCGATACTGTGAACGTGGCGCCCTGTGAGTGGATGAGGAAGGGCGGGCAGGGGAAACCGGGGATGAGGGCAGGGAAAAACGGGGGTGAAAAAGAAATCCAAGCGTCCAGACGCTCACATGTGACACCCTGAAAGTGACACTCTGAATGTGACACTCTGAGTTACTCGTGGGCCGATTCACGGAGCCAAACGAATCTGCACGAACCAGAAACCCCACAAACCTGCAGGTCAGCTTCGGAGAGCGTCCTTTCCAAGGCTGCGGTGGAGAGGCGTTGGATCTCCGAAGCTATCTCGGCCAGACCCTTGGTGTTGGCGGCCTGGAGCCGTGGAGCAAGGCGGATAAAAGAAACGGAGATGAGGAGAATTGAAACAATAGCGCGTGTGAAGGGGTAAGTGGGAAGGGGGATGGTGGAGGGGAGGAGACACAGGTATAGAGAGAGAGAGGGTGGAAGACGCGGGGGACAGTGAGGAGGCAAGTGCTTTGTAAGGAGTGCTAGCAAGCCATGTGATAGCGGAGAAAGAGGCATTTGCAGGCGTGCATGCTGACGCCATGATGACGCCAGCGCCAACTTCCGCCGTTACCTTGATGACTGGGTACAGGGTGCCTTCCGGCGTGAACACCGCCACAGCCACATTCACGTCCGCGTACCTGCCATGAGGATGGGCATTTTTACCATCGGGTCATGGGAGCATGGCATGGGGGTCATGGGAACATGGCATGGGGGTCATGGGAACATGGCATGGGGGTCATGGGAACATGGCATGGGGGTCATGGGAACATGGCATGGGGGTCATGGGAACATGGCATGGGGGTCATGGGAACATGGCATGGGGGTCATGGAAACATGGCATGGGGGTCATGGGAACATGGCATGGGGGTCATGGGAACATGGCATGGGGGTCATGGGAACATGGCATGGGGGTCATGGGAACATGGCATGGGGGTCATGGGAACATGGCATGGGGGTCATGGGAACATGGCATGGGGGTCATGGGGAAATACGATTGGAGTTATGGGGTTCAAGGGAGGAAAACAAGGGGGTCATGGAGACGAGGGCTCTTGTGGCATCAGTCATGTGCGCATGGCGTAAGGGGACCCAGATAGGTGGGGAGGCAGACAGAGGGACAGAGGGACAGAGGGACAGAGGGACAGAGGGACGGGTGGACAGGACAGAGGGACGGAAGCACATGAATGGGCAGAGGGGGCAGAGGGGACGGAGGAGAGGCTGACAGACATGGCACCCGCTTCTTCATGGAGAGAGGGACCCCAGTGCGGCCGACTTGCCGGATGGTGAAACTCACTGGCGAATGAAGTCACCCGCCCATGAGCTGTTGCATGCAGGAACCTTCTTGGAAGCCAGCGCTGCCGCCTGTGTTGGGTCACAAGGAGTTTTACACAGTGGGGAGGAAGGAATGGATGTTAGCGCTTCAAGATCGGCATCTGCCAGCAGCAGAACATGTCTAACGAGGCTAGATGGAAGCAGGTAGCATGTGAGGCTAGATGGAAGCAGGTAACATGTGAGGCTAGATGGAAGCAGGTAACATGTGAGGCTAGATGGAAGCAGGTAACATGTGAGGCTAGATGGAAGCAGGTAACATGTAAGGCTAGATGGAAGCAGGTAGCATGTGAGGCTAGATGGAAGCAGGTAACATGTGAGGCTAGATGGAAGCAGGTAACATGTGAGGCTAGATGGAAGCAGGTAACATGTGAGGCTAGATGGAAGCAGGTAACAGAGAGAGGAACACCGAGAGGAGGGAGATGGGCATGTGAGGGTGGATTGATGAGCAGCAGCTTGCCTTGATGAGGATGGCAGTCGAAGTGACCGGGACATCGGATGCTGCATTCAGCTGCTCCAACACCCTGGTGGGAGAGAGAGGGAGCACGAGGGACACACAGCGAGGTGGAGAGAGAGGAAAGGCGAGACGTGGGGCGAGATGAGGAATGATGAGGGGCAGACGCAGAAGGGGACAAAGCCCGGTTTTGAGGCGCCTCAAAACCAGAGGCAGAGGACGAACGAGCAGTGGGACAGAGAAGGGGAAGGTTGAGGCGCTGTCAGTTGGGACTACGAGGAACGGAAGAGAACCAAAGGAGGCATGGCATGGCAGTGAGTGTGAGCGGGTGTGCAGGTATATCTGAGGCGCCTAAAGTAGGGGACTGTGAGCGGGTGTTCACGTATTTCTGAGAGCGCTTTAGAGGCGCCTCAAAAGCACTGAGAGCGGGTGTGCATGTTTATCTGAGGAGCCTAAAATAGGGGACTGAGAGCGGGAGTGCACGTATTTCTGAGGCACCTAAAAATCGGTGACGGGTTGGGTGTGCATGCGCCTGTTCTGGTTCCCACATGCAAGGGCGTATGTGTGTGTGCGTACGCGCATGTGTGGTTTGTAAGCAGGTGTGTGTGCATGCGGGCACATGTGCGGTCAGTGCACGACATACTTGGCTGCAGCATCCAGGGGGGCATCCGCAGAGAGGTAGAAGTGAGGCACGGTCTGGATGGAGAGCTGCATCTGCTCCGCCACGCGCTGGAAGCCAAGGTGAAGGCGGGTGAGGGGGGAAGAGGAAGGGAGGGGACGTTGGGAGGGGGTTGGGGGGGAAAAGGGATGGAAGCAGCTTTAAGAAGGCCCACATAGGCCGAAATGGCAGCAGGGGCAGCAGGAGCAACGGCGGCAGTGGCCGGGGCAGGGGGAGCAGCAGCGGTTGCAGCTGTGAGAGAATGGAAGAAGACAGAAGAAAGTGCTTTTGAGTCGACTCAAAAACAGGAAGGTACAAGACAGAAGGGAGTCCCACCTTCCTGAGCTCGCCCACGTTGGCTGACATGGCAGCAGCGGGAGCAGAGAGGAGCAGGGGGAGCAGGGGGAGCAGGTGACGTGAGGCGGGTGTGAGAATGGGGAGAGCGCGGGGGACACACACGCAGCTCACCTTCCTCAGCTCGTCCACGCTGGCTGACATGGCCGCAGCCGGAGCAGCAGCAGGCGCACCAGCCACAGCAGCCGCAGTGGGAGCAGCAGAGGGGGCAGCAGCGGCGGCGGGGCGAGGCTGTGAGAGGAACGCCTCCACGTCCTCCCTCAACACACGGCCGTTGGGACCCGAGCCCGACACCAGCGATATGTCGATCTGAATAGGGTCGGACGGTCAGGGGGGCCGGGGGGGAGGGAGGGAGTGGGGGGGGCAGACAGGCGGGCAGAGAGTGAGAGGACGGCCTCCACGTCTTCCCTGAGTGCACGGCCGCTGGGGCCTGATCCTGAGACTAGAAATGTGTCGACTGGATAAGGCGAGGGAAAGGGCACAGGGGTGGGTGGGGAGGGAGAAAGAAGATGGTGAAGCCAGGAGTGAAGTGAATGGAAACTGAAGCATGGTGAGGGCAGAGGGGACAGTGCACTTCAGAATGTACTCTCAACGCATCACAGCATTACATCTCACGACCACATTGGCAAACGCATCCGTCCTCAAGACCCGCAACCCACCTGGTGCTCCTTGCTGCAGCGCTGGGCTTGTAAGAGTTCTCAACGGCTCGATACTGCACTCATTCCCACTGCACTAGCTCCCAGGCACACTCTTCCCATCCCCAGCACCCGCAGCCCACCTTGCTATCTGCTACTAGCCTGCGAGCAGCAGGGCTGGCAAACGCCCTCGCCTCTCCCACTCTGCCTTGCCCCTTGTGGCCCAACCTCTTTCACCCACACCCATTCCCTTCCTTTGCAGCCTCTCATCCCACCTTGTTATCTGCTGCCAGCTTGCGCGCAGCAGGGCTGGCAAACACCCTCGCGCCATCAGCGCGCGGAGGGGGAGGGGGAGGAGCAGCCGCTGCTGGCGCTGCTGGGGCGGCAGGGGTGGGAGGCGGAGCAGCAGCAGCAGCAGCAGCAGCGGGAGCAGCAGGCGCAGAAGCGGCTTCGGCAGGCGCAGAAGAGGGGATGTAGTTGGCGAATTGGGGGACGCTCTCCGCATCGTCCACTATGATGGCGATGGGCTGATGGCGCGTGGGGGGGAAGGGGGGTGCGGGGGGACGAGGGGGGGGACGCGTTGGCAAGAGAGGGAGGGAGCTATGAACCAAGCAGAAAAAATCTTGGAAATGCTGTAAGCATCATCTACTATGAGATGGCGATGGGCTGATGGGGGAAAGAGGGGGGAAGGGAACGGACGGGGGGGAGGGGGAAGGGAACGGACGGGGGGGAGGGGGAAGGGAAGAGCGCATGGGACTCATTTGGGGATGCTGTCAGCGTCATCCACTATGATGGCGATGGGCTGACGGGCGGGCAAGAGTGTGAAGGAGAGAGGGGAGAGAGGGGAGAAAGGGGAGAGAGGGCAGCACAGACAGGAAGCGGAGGGCTGTTGTTGACTAAGAAGTCGTGCTGTCCGCCTCAATCACTATAGTGGCAACTGTAAGCCCCTAACCATGCTCAATGCACAGCTCACCGTGCCGACAGTGACGTCCTTAGCACCGCCGTCCACGAGGATCTTGGCAAGGAAGCCGTCCTCCATGGCCTCCATCTCCAGCGTCGCCTTGTCCGTCTCGATCTCGCACAGCACGTCCCCCGCTCTCAACGTGTCGCCCACCGCCTTGCGCCACCGCGCAATGTTGCCCTGGGATGGGTTGGGGTGGGTGATGGGGTGGGTGATGGCATGGGTGATGGCATGGGTGATGGCATGGGTGATGGCATGGGTGATGGCAAGGGTGATCACAGTGTGGGTGATCACAGCATGGGTTCACCAGGAAATGGGAAGGACACATATGGGATGCGATGAGTTGAGAGGAAACGGGAAAGATTTGATGCGAGGCAGCAGCATGCACATGAGCAGCACCTGGATCATGAACTGAACAGTACAGGAGCCATGAACAGTACAGGAGCCATGAACAGTACAGGAGCCATGAACAGTACAGGAGCCATGAACAGTACCTGGGTCATGGTGGGGGAGAGCGATGGCATGGCGAGCGAATGGAAGGGCGGCAGATCTGCAAGGGACGATGCAAGGGAAGAAGCACAGCAGGTGTTGAGAGAACAGAGCAAACAGATCAGGAATCAGAGGCCGTGCACAGAGGAACACATCCCAGCACAGCAAGCACGCACGCAAGCAAGCAAGCAAGGGGAGCAGCATCAATACAAGAGGCGTTCCATGAGCATGCCAGCCCCCACGCCAGCCCCCACGCCAGCCCCCATGCCAGCCCCCATGCCAGCCCCCATGCCAGCCCCCATGCCAGCCCCCACGCCAGCCCCCATGCCAGCCCCCACGCCAGCCCCCATGCCAGCCCCCATGCCAGCCCCCATGCCAGCCCCCATGCCAGCCCCCATGCCAGCCCCAATGCCAGCCCCAATGCCAGCCCCCATGCCAGCCCCCTTGCCAGCCCCCATGCCAGCCCCCATGCCAGCCGCCATGCCAGCCCCCATGCCAGCCCCCATGGCAGCCCCCATGGCAGCCGCCATGGCAGCCCCCATGCCGCACAATGCTGCATGAATCCTTCAGGCCCTATACCAACCCTCCTTAGACCTCTCTCCCAACCCCCCCAGTGTCCGCGCCCCATGCGCCCAGCGCACCTGAGGGGGGCGTGGATGAGCCGGCGTCGGAGGGCGGAGCAGGGGCGGCAGCAGGGGGGGCTGAGCCGCCAGCATCGGCCGCAGTGAAAGACGAGAACTTGGATGCGTCCCCGCTGTCCTCCACCATCACTGCTATGGGCTGCGCGAGATGATCGGGAAGGGAGGAGGGGGTCGGGAAATGTGGGCGCGGGGGAAGGGGAAGGAAGAGGGGGGGGGGGGGGGGGAGAAGCATGAAAGCGGCAAATAGCAGCTGCAGCAAAGCATGGAAAACGCACATTGGTAACGGGGACCGCGTTCCTACTTGACCCACGTTGACCCACTTTGACCTGCGTTGACTCACAGTGCCAACAGGGATGTCCTTGGAGCCCTCGGGCATGAGGATCTTGGCGAGGAAGCCATCCTCCATGGACTCCATGGATAGCGTCGCCTTGTCCTGCCACACATGCATCCACATGCGCACATGCCGCATGCCACATGCACATGCCACGTGCCACATGCCACATGCCACATGCCACTTGGCACATGCCACATGCCACATGCCACGTGCACATGCCACGTGCACATGCCACATGCCACATTCCACATGCCACATGCCACATGCCACAGCATCCCACCATACCAGGACATTCCAAAAAGCGGAAAAGACATGCCAACGTACATACCATGGCAACACCTCGTTGGGAAGAATGCTGAAACGATTGACAGCACGCATGCGGTAGGAACAAGAAGCGCTCACTCTCACAATGTAGGCAACCAGGCAATTAGAGCGGCGATTATAGCGGTATCAGATGACTCAGGAACCTTGCAAGCACGGCACTCACCGTCTCTATCTCGCACAGCACGTCGCCAGCGTTGACCTGATCGCCCTCCGCCTTGCACCACTTGGCGATGTTGCCCTGCCATTGGGGAGTTGACGAGGGGGGAGGGGAGGGGGTGCGTGAGGTGTTTGCAATCTGAACAGGGCGTGTGCGGAAGCATTGCGAGCGGGGGTGTGTGGCGACCGACCCCCTGCACCGCTTGGCGAAAAGAGGCAAGAAACGAGAGGCTTGATGAGGGAGTGGTGACGAGACACATGGCGCACAGGGGTGAAGGAAGACACGAGCTTATAGCGTTTGAGCGGGTGGTGAAGGAAGCAAGCAACCGAACACGGATAGGCACTGCTCCGCTGCTCACCAATCACATGACCTGCCCCAGCACCAACCTGCCTCAGTGCTGACCTACCCCAGTACTGCACGAACCCACGGCCAGCACTGGCACCAGCTTGCCACAGCACTGACCTGCCGCAGCACTGGCCTGCCGCAGCACTGTCCTGCCCCAGTACTGACCTGCCCCAGTACTGTCCTGCACCAGTACTGACCTGCCCCAGTACTGTCCTGCACCAGTACTGACCTGCCCCAGTACTGTCCTGCACCAGTACTGACCTGCCCCAGTACTGTCCTGCACCAGTACTGACCTGCCCCAGTACTGACCTGAGTCATGGTGGGGGAGAGCGACGGCATGGCGACGGGCTGGTGGGGCGGCCCTGCAGGGCAGCAGGTGACATGGGCGGGCAGCAGGTGACATGGGCGGGGGCATTGACGGGCATGGGTACATTCACAGGCATGTGCAGGAAAAGCAAGGCCCATGCTGGACGCATGGAGCACTATAAGAAGGTCCGTGCGTGTGACACATCCACGTAGAGCTCGCTATAAGCAGCTCCCTGAACACTGTTCTACGTGCAACTTAATATCACCACCCTACGTGTAACGTGTTCCCACGTGCGCACAGCCACGCCACTGCCGCGACCTAATCGCGAATGGCGATACGGATCTGCGCAACAGTCGACAGTCACGACAGATCTCCAGATCGCGTAGAGGCACGTACAGGCGGAGGCGGCGGCGGCGGAGTAACGGCGCACAGCCTTCCAGCGGAAGGCCATTCCCGGCAGGAGCGCGGACGCATGGTGAGCGGATGGCGCACGAGGGTCGAGCGGAGCGGAAGGCTTGGCGGAGGCGGAGGCGGATGAGGTGGGAAGGGCGGAAGCGGGGATCAGCGACGATCTGGGGGGGAGGGGGGAGGGGGTGGGTGGGGGGTGGGGAGAATGGGGGGAAATGCGCAGGGCATGGTTGACCAGGGATACATGACAGTGCGAGACCTAAAAATGCATCAGACCCCAGGCATGCAACCAGGGCATCCTGGTATGCGGCCACAAGAGGAGCATATCCTGTCCTGCGCCCACCCACCCACCCACCACCCACCCACCTGGTCCCTTCCCCATCAGAGCACAGCAAGAGCAATGCTGCGAACGGCCTCAGGCGAGAGGACGAGGAATGAGGCAGAGCATCAATACCTTCAACGCCCGGAGGCAGGAAGGCGGCTGTTTAGTGCGCTTCAAGGCAGGAAGACGAACCAAGCATCGGCACTTGGTCTTAAGTTCGACATCCGGGATGAGACAACCTTTCAGGATTCGTGATGCTTCTGAGAATCGGGGACTCCCTAGTCAGAGATTCCCTACGCCGGAATTTTGTTGTTTGTTGTTGCTAAGCAGGAAGAACAGAAGAGGGAGGACTACGGGTGGGCAAATAACCAGGAGACGACGATGGGATTCGTGGATTCTATTCCGTACCTGATGCTGCTCGTGCTGTAGGTGGCGGATCGGATCTCCTTAGCGAGCGATTTCACCGCTTGCGGATGTCCGCCCGCCGACTGAACATGCAGCGCCGCAGCCGCCGCTGCCGGCGCGGCCTGCGGGACAACCGGTGCGCTGGACGCGGCGAGCAGGCGGCGGATGGTGGGCACGGGCACCGCGTGCTGCAGGTGACGACGGGACGCCATGGCTGGTGGATAGTATGATCCGATATGAGCTGGCTCGATAAGCGGACTCTGACACCCAGGAGACGGCTTGGTGCTACACGGCGATCGGTTGATGATTCCACGCACGGATGAACCGAGGCTACGGATCGGAATCCGACGAGCCGGAGGGGACCACGGCAAGGCGCGGCACAGGTGGCGACGGCAGATCCAGCCACGTGGCTAGCTGCAGGCAAGCCAACGAGCAGCACGTGCCACTACAACTGCAGCTTGTGAGGCAGAGTCGAGGCTGGGCGGGCTGCTGGTCCGCTGCTGCGGTGGTGCTAATCCCGAGGCTCACACCCAAGTCTAGCTGCCTCGCTGCTCCTAAAAGCAGCCGAGTGTCAGTGCGGAAAGAAAAGGGTAGGGGAGAAAGGGGCCTGGGGAAGGGGAATGGATCTGGTGGGGTGGGGAAGGGGGGGGAGGAGGCGCAGGCGGGGTGAGATATTTCCGCGCGCGGAGATCCCAAAGGCCCAACAGCACCTGCAGGTTGTGGAGGGAGGGATCTGCGGGCGAAGCTGGCGCGGGATTGGGTGAAAACTTTTCGCCTGCCGCTGTTTGTGCCGAGGACCAATCGCGGAGCAGGAATCGTTTCTCCGATATGACACAACACAACACAACCGAGTGACCCCTATCGAACATGGTATAAATCTCATAACCAGAACATTGATGCTTCGTGATTTTAGCAGGCAATGCACGTAACGAGGCCTCTCATACGCGTACAATAATGCTGAAGATTCCCCTCACAAATCCGCATCCCAGCCAAACACTCACTAGAGGCTACACAAACAGATTCTGATCGCGCGACGCTCGTAGCGCAAGTGAAAGACGGGAGAACACGCGCGGCTCCTCTCGAGTCCTCAACATGGGAGAACTGGCCTGAGCTTGCCGCTCGTCGCGGATTTTGGCAGGGAGGCAGGCACGCCACCCCTTGGCGGTTTCAACTAGACACCACGTTTTAGGGGCGCCGTTTCCTAAAGTGGTGAGATGATGGCGACAGCTTTGCGGACAGCCTCTGCGCTTCAGGGATTCCCCACCCGGCGCTCCCCTGCTCCCGCGCGGCTGCTGCTGCTGCCACTGCTGGCGCTACTGCTGCTCGCCGGCGGAAGCAGAGGCGGCGAGGGGCGGAAGGAGGGGCGGAGGGCGGAGAAAGGAGAGGAAGAGGAGGAGGAGGAGGCTCGGCGCGCAACGATCGGGTTCCTGGCGCACGGGTGGAACGATCTGAGGGAGTGGCGCGCGGGGCTGGTGAAGGGCGTGGAGTACTGCAAGATCGACTTCACCTGGATGCCCAAGGAGCGGTGCCAAGTGCAGGTGAGACGGTGAGGGGTGCGGCGGGTGGGGAGGGAGGGAGAGGGGGGAGAGAGGGCGGAGGGAGAGGGGGAGGGAGACACATGCAAGAGAGTGAGTGAGAAGGCGCAGCAACTAGCGGGGCTGGTGAAGGGCGTGGAGTACTGCAAGATCGACTTCAGCTGGATGCCAAAAGAACGATGCCAAGTGCAGGTGGGGCGAGGGGAGAGGGGGGAAAGGGGAGGGGGCAGTGGGGAGAGGGGAGGGGGGAGAGGGGAGGGGGGAGAAAGGGATGGGTGGCGGGTGAGAGGGAAGGATGGGAACGACGCACACCTCCCACCGTTCTTCCTATCCCTGCATTTATCTTGCCTCACCTCACTCCCCCTTTCTCTGCCTTCTCTTTTGCCCACGCACCAGGTGGGGTCGCGCTGGCGGTTCAACCCTCATGGCTGCTTCGGATTGGTGCACTCGCTGACGTGGCTCAGCCGCCAGCTCAACACCAGCGATGACGTCATCGCATTCCTCCGCGACCCAGTCAATCGCGTGCTTCTGACGCATCCCCGCCCGCGGCTCTACATTCAGGTTGTTGGGGATGAGGGGGGGGGAGGGGGAAGGGGGGCGAGAGAATCTCTGCTGACAGTTGGGGCGTGGGAGTGTGCGTGGTAATGAATATGGCAGTGGGCATGGCATGGCATGGCATGGCATGGATTGTTGGGCTTGGGGTTATTGAGAATGAGAGATTGGTCAGGGGTTTGGTCCAAGGAAGAGAAGCATTTGCTGTACAGCGATTCTCACATTTGGATTCTCACATTTGGATTCTCGACATCCTTCTCAATCGGTTCGCATCAAGTGTCCCTGTATTTCTGCCCCTCTCCCCATTCTCATCCGCCATCATCGCCGTTTCCTCCCCTTATGCGCCCCTTTTCCTCAACCCCCTCAAGCCAGCTCTGTCCCAAGAACCGTCCTTCTCTCTGCACTTCCGATCGTATGCACGCTGACGTCATCAGCGATGACGCGGCACGGGCCAACGCCGCTGCAGAGAAGGCCATCAGCATGCGCCCCATAGTGCCACGTGGCAGCAGCAGAAGGGTGCTGCAAGGGACAGCACCTGGTACTACAGGCTTCTCCAGTGAAGCACACACTTCCAGTGCAGGTGCACCTGGTGCGGGCGCATCTGGTGGGGGCAGTTTGTCCAGCGAGGGCGATGGCATACAGTGGGGGGACGAGGAGGTGCGCCAGTGGATGGCGCTGTTTGACGACTTCTTCCAGCGCGCCTCAGCAGCCGTGCACGAGCTTGGGCTCAACGTCGACTTCTTCCTCAACGATGTCAGCTCGCCTGCTGCTGCTCCCTGCTTCTGCTGCTTCTGCTGCTTCTGCTTCTGCTGCTTCTGCTGCTGCTGCTGCTGCTTCTGCTCCGACTGCTTCTGCTGCTGTTGATGCTGCTGCCGCTGCTCCCTTACCTCCCTGCCTACAGCAGATGTATCTCACGAGGACTCCAAGCCCCCCCTCCTCCCCATGCAGATGGGTGGCAAGTGTGTGGCGTAGCGGTGGCGGCCATGGGTGATAGATAGTGTGGGATGACAGCCATCTCACCAGCGGGCCATCTCAACAGTCTTCACACACTCTCCTTCCCCCTTAACTCATTCTTGCAGATGGGTGGCAAGTGCGTGGCGCAGCGGTGGCGGCCGTGGGTGATAGCATGGGACGACAACGACCTCACCAGCAAGCCCGCCACCACCAACGACCCCTCGGATGCCTCCGACCGCTTCCAGGCACGTGACATGTGGCATGCTGGTGCATGTGTGGCATGTGGCATGTGGCATGTGGCATGTGGCATGTGACATGTGACATGTGGCATGTGGCATGTAGCATGTGACATGTGGCATGTAGCATGTGAAATGTGGCACACTGGTGCATGTGTGGCATGTGGCATGTGGCATGTGGCATGTGACATGTGGCATGCTGGTGCATGTGTGGCATGTCGCATGGCGCATGTGGCATGTGGCATGTGACATGTGGCATGCTGGTGCATGAGTGGCATGTCGCATGTCGCATGTCGCATGTGGCATGTGGCATGTGACATGTGGCATGCTGGTGCATGTGTGGCATGTCGCATGTCGCATGTGGCATGTGGCATGTGACATGTTACATGTGGCATGCTGGTGCATGAGTGGCATGTGACATGTGGCATGCTGGTGCATGTATGGCATGTGGCATGTGACATGGTGTTGCATGTGTGCCATGTGCCACCAACGACCCTTCTGATGGCTCTGACTGCTTCCAGGCACGTGACATGTGGCAGATGGCGTGTTAAAGCCGCGGTAACACTCCCCGAAATTGCAGAGACTGAACAGTGGCAAACAGGGTAGGGCCGCGCGGATTGGTTAACGAGCTTGATGAGAGGCTGGACCAGCGCGATATTTTTTTTCCGGTTCGTAGCAACTTGCATTTCGTCACATTCAGCAATTTTGTAAACACTGGCCGAGGGGGAAAGAACGGCGGGAGGGGCACGCAGGAGCTGTACACAATTGTATACAATTCGGCAGGGAGGGGGGGGATGCGATTCTGCTGGGGGAATCGAAATTGCAGGGGGGAATCGCAGAAAGGGGAAAGGACACGGGAGGGGGGGGTGGGGGAGGGAAAAGGAGGGGAGCAAATGTGTAAACATCATGGGGATCCATCGGGACCTCGAGAGATTTCCAGTACACAAGCCTCACACTGGGCTCAATGGAATGTTTTCCTCAGTAGGCGAGAGCGAAATCTCTCGAGGCAAAGTTACGCTGTAATCCCGCCTGAAATGTCTATTATTTGAAAAGATTTACCGCGGCTTTAATGCATGTGGGGCAGGGCGTGTGGCATGTGGATCCAGTTTCGTGTGAATTTGGTCCAGTACGCTTGATGGGATCTGAAATCCAGGACACCTTGGTGTTGTCACTTGGTATTGGGTTGGCGTGTGGCAGGTGCTGAACCACGATGCCACATTCACCTGGTGGGCGGCAGCAGCGGAGCAGCACTTCATGAAGTTCAAAAACTCCTCTCGCGCACTCGTTCTCTATGAGCCTCAGGTGAGCCTCAGGTGAGCCTCGGGTGAGCCTCGGGTGAGCCTCAGGTGAGCCTCGGGTGAGCCTCGGGTGAGCCTCGGGTGAGCCTCGGGTGAGCCTCGGGTGAGCCTCGGGTGAGCCTGGGTGAGCCTCGGGTGAGTCTCGGGTGAGGCTCAGGTGAGCGTCTAGCGCTGATGCTGCTCCCCGACGCCACAAGAGGGCTGCCTTGAGGTGGACGACAACCGCAAGCAAGCATGCGTGCATGCATGGCCTGCCAGCATCGATCCAACCCCTCATTCGTGTTCTGCCTCCTCGCCTCCCCACGATCCGCATCCAGTCCCCCCCGCCCCACCATGACCCGACTTCTTTGTGATCAAATGCCCCCGGACCCGTCAGCCAGCCAACAACATCGATCTCATCGTGCTCCGCCTCTTCGCCTCCTTCTGACCGCACTTCTGGCTGACCCGCTTCCCACTGACCCTTTCCCCCCTTGAGGACGAGCGCCCATTCCAGCTGTTCTCCCACGTCCACTTGCCTGCCATCCTCACCCAGAAACTTGGCTTCCGTTTCGCCGCCAGCATTGACTCCATCGTGTTCCGCCTTGTCGGCGCCCCCTTGTAACCCCCGTTCCCCCCCAACGCATTTGCCCGTCATAACACGACCACGACCACGACCAGGACGAAGGAGCATTCCAGATGTTTGCCGACGTCTATCTGTCTGCCAACCTGACCCACAAGCCCGGGTTCCGGTTCGCCACCAACATCGACCCCATCATGTTCCGCCTCTTCGCCGCCCCCTCCTCCCACCTCGCCACCCACACACCCTATGCTCATGACGTCACCTCCCCTCCCCCCCCCTTTTCTCGCCCTGCTGCTGCCGTCATCCCCCTACCTGCTGACAACCCGATTCACAATGTGACTCGTCCACCCTCCGCCTCCTCCTCCTCCTCCTCGTCCTCCTCCTCCTCCTCCCCTCACGCATTTGCCATCCTCACCATCCATTGGCTACCAGACAATCCACTCCGCCCGCCCTCTTCCCCCGTCTACACTGTTCAGCTCGCCCCCTCCCTCCCTGCCGCACAACCACCTGCAACAGTGATCGACAGCAACTCTTTGCCGGGCGGGGAACTTCTGTCTGCTTGTGAAGTGCAGAGTGGAGAGGGAGGTGGAACCGATGGCGAGGGTAAGGGGAAAATCAGTGAGTGGTTCAGTGATGGGGGGGTTGGATCTGGGCGGGTGGCATCTGTGAGTGTGTTGGACTTGCCTCAAGGCATGGAAGTGGATTTTGGGGCGATGAGCAACAGCCAGGCCACGCGTGGGGAGGGAGAGGGAGCGGGAGAGGGAAAGGGAGAGGGAGAGGGAGAGGGAGCGGGAGAGGGAAAGGGAGAGGGAGAGGGAGTGGGAGATGGAGTGGGGGAGGGAATGGGAGAGGGAAGGAGGAGGAGGGAAAGGAGGAGGGCTGGTGTGGAAGGAGTGGCTCTAGTGGTGAGTGATGCATGTGGCGGCCATATCCTGCTGTGGTTCGCTTATGACTCTCTGACGCTCAGCCTTATATCGAGGATAGACCTTCCAGAGCGAATGAGGCGGAAGGCTGGTGGCAGGCAGCTCGCCTCAGTCGCCTGGAGCACAGTCGTCCTAGAGAAGCCTGCTCTTAACGGGGATGGGGAGAGCGGCAGTGAACAGCAGCAGCAATCTGGGACCCCAAGGCATGGCCAGGACCAGGTGGGGGGAGTGGGTGCGTCTAAAGTGGTGGTGGTGGTGGGTGTGGAAGCGTACACGTCGAGTGGTAAGTCTGCTGCGGCTGATTCCATGGCACAAGGTGGTGGCCGAGCTAGGCAGAGGGCAGAAGAGAATCTATGGCAGAGAGAAGCAGGGAAGGATGGGGGCAAGGCGGAGATTGGGGGGGACAGCAGCGATGGAGGGGGCAGGGAGAGCCGGAGGGAGGCGCCGCAGAAAGCAAGACGACGCAACCTGGATGGAGGGGGGAGGGAGAGCGGGATGGCAGCAGCATGTGGGCTCATGGGTCGAGTGGTCGTGTTCTCTCTGCCCCCCCTACCTACTCATGCATATGGTTCCCCCCGGATAGGGATGATGGTGCTGCCAGCGTCCCATCTGCGGCTGTCGGCCGTCCGTTCTGCATTTCGAAGCTCTTGCCGTCACTGTCCATTCCTCTTGCCATTGCTGCCACACAAAGTACCTCAAGCAATACAACAGATAGCCGCAGCAGCAGCAGCAGCATCATCAGCGGCAGCAGCAGCAGCAGCAGTATCGGAATAAGCAGCAGCGGGGATGTGGTCGTGGATGCAGTGGTGGCATTCTCCGTCGTGGGCTCGCACACCAGAGGGAAGGGCAGTGGGGTGGATACGCCTGACGGCCTCGCCACCGATCATGGCACAGGCGGCCCTGCAGGGCACGAGGCAGTGCAGCCGGGCGACGACGCAGGCGATAGAGCAGCGGTGCACGATGAAGCGGGCCCTCTGCTGTACGTGCATCATGTGGCCCTGCGCCTTCCCATCCACGCTCTCTTGCGCGCTGCACAGCACATGCCAGAGGAGGCTGTGGAGATAGCGGAGGACGGGGAGGTGTCAGTTGACCCCCTGCTGCACGCCGTGCCTCAAGTGCGAGTCACGCCTCCACCCAATGTCGTCCCAGTGCCCTTTGCTCGAGGCTCCATGCCAGCTGTCAGCATGGCATTGGCTGCTGGGGAAAAAGGGGGTGGCGACGAGGAGGAGCCACACGTGCTGCTGCTGCACACGGACGCCTTCTGCTGGAACTCCTTCGCCCGCCACGACACCCCGCTAGGGTCCCCTCAGGTACACTTGTCTTGCCCTCCCATCGTTTCCCATCTGTGATGATGCTGGGCGGCACAGAGAGGAGAGGGCAATGGAGCCACACGTGCTGCTGCTGACACGGATGCCTTTTGTTGGAACTCGTTTGCCCCGCCGCAACACCCCTTTAGGGTCCTCTCGGGTGCGCTTGCCTTGCCCTCTCCTCTTGGCCCATCCTCAATGCCCAACACCCCGCCTCTAACACTCTCCCTCCTCTTTACACGTCTCTCTCACATTCTATGCCTGCACTGACAGCTTCCACACACATGCACTTACGCATTCCCATCCCACTGCATGCCGTCTCTGGCCCCGTTCCTTCCACTGTCCCATCCTTCTCCCCTTCCGACCCCCTCTCCCTCTTCCACCGCCCAACCCCCATCCCCACCACCAGGTGTGCGACCTCCCGCACACCATATTCGGGGCCTCTCAGCCCGGCATCCTCGCTTACACCTATGGGCGCCTCTCCACCCTGCACTCCCGCCTCGCTGCTGCGGCACACGCCCTCCCGGCACCTCCTTCCAGCCCCCCAGCACAAGCAGCCCCCCATTCGCCACCATCCAACGCCATGGTGGCATCAGCGTGTGACAGCTCTCTCCTGCACGGCACGTACGACCAGGGGGCCGGGGCTCCTGCTGCTGCCCTGCTGCTGCTCCCACGCACATGCACCCAGGGGAGAAAGCATGGGGGTGAGGAGAGAAGTGAGGATGAAAGTGGGAGGTGGAAGGGGTATGGGGGTGGGAGATGGAGGGGGTATGAGAGGGGGAGTGGAAGGAGGAGTGCAGGTGGAGGGGTTGGGGATGGATGTGGTGGAGGGGAGGAGAGGGAGGAGGTGGTGGCAGTAGCAGTGGCAGTGCACAAGGGGTTGGCTAGAGGGGGGCTGAACAACTGCGGCGATCCCATGCCTGCCCCCGGCCTTGTGCTGGACGTGTGGGAGATGCCGCAGTTGGTGGACTGAACAGATGCCTTGGTGCTTCTGATGGTGACACCTGAGGCGATGCTGATGCCAAGATTTCAGGCCTGCTCTGGGCGTGGTGCTATGCTGGATGTGTGGGAGGTGCCTCATCCAACGGACTGATGGCTTCATGGTTTTGAGACGTCCGGACTGATGCCCGGACTGACGCCCGGACTGACTCCCGGACTGATGCCCGGACTGACGCCCGGACTGACGCCTGGACTGATGGCCTGCCCAGCCAGTCGAGCATGGACCATGGCATGATGACACCTGTGATGTGATTTTCCATGACTAGGTGGTGGTGCAGTGTAGCCCATCAATCGTGGTGCATGTGGCTGGCACTTGTTCCGAGCCTTATCCTTGTGATCACATCACATGTCCTCTAGTGTTTTGACCTGCTGTTTTGTTGCCCTAACACCTCCATTGCCCCTCATTGCCTCATGTTCGAATGGCATGAGCTGCCAAGGCACCTGTGGATGGAAGGATGCATGATGACATCACGCCATGCACAGTACGATCAGACAGACTGCCATCCACAGGCAGACAGCACGTTCCATCCGGTCCATCCATCGCATTCAAGCTCCGATAATTCTGCAAGAGCTTTGAGTAACGCTATGGGCAGTCAGTCATATGCACAGCATTGAACCACGGTAGTAGCCTTTCAACTCACAAAACCACTCAATGTACACAAGCTCTTCACTTCAACAAAGCAGCAGCAACAGTAGCAGCAGCAGCACTTCAAGCAGCAGCAGCAGAAGCCTCAGCAGCAGCATCTGTATCGCCACCATCTGTAACTGGACCATCTGTCGTGGGACCATCATTACTCGCACCATCTGTCTCGAGACCACCTCCCCCAGTCGCCACCTGTTCGGATCCAACCATCCTCTTATCCCCTATCCCAGCCCCCCCTTCCCCAGCCGCCCCTTCCCCTGCTCCAGCTGCCCCTTCCCCGGCTGCCCCTGCTCCAGCTGCCGCTTCCCTGGCTGCCCCTGCCCCGACTGCCCCCGCCTCCGCCGCCGCTGCCTCCGCCCTCGACCGCTGCCACTTGACGACATTCCCAATCTTCTGCGCGACGTTCTCCATGCTGGGCCGCGCATCCCACTCCTTGATGAGCGCGTACTTGGCGATGTAGGCTATGGCGAGGGCGTCCTTACGGCGGCACTGCGACGCGATGGCGGGGTCCACGAGGGCTGAGAGATCGGGGTGGTCCTGGGCCAACAGCGCGGGGATGAGGTGCTCGTGGATGCTGTCCTGCAGCACCGACTTGCCGGTGAGCAGCTCCACTAGGAACACCCCAAACGCGTACACGTCACTCTTGGCGTGCACGTGGCCTGGAAAGGGGGGGAGGGATGTGGGGCGGGAAGAGGGGGGGGGGGGGTGGAAGAGGGGTTGGGGAGGCAGGGATGAGGGATGAGAGATGAGAGATGAGGGATGAGAGATGAGAGATGAGGGATGAGAGATGAGAGATGAGGGATGAGAGATGAGGGATGAGGGATGAGGGATGGGCGAAAGGATGAGAGGGAGAAGAAGAGGTAGTGCGTAGCCCAGCAAAGAGTTGCGACAGGGGCACACATGGCACACGTGGCACGCATTGCGCTCATGGCACACATGGCACACATGGCACACATGGCACACATGGCACACATGGCACACATGGCACACATGGCACACATGGCACACATGGCACACATGGCAAACATGGCACACATGGTACACATGGCACACATGGCACACATGGCACACATGGTACACATGGTACACATGGTACACATGGTACACATGGCACACCATGGACTTTAGATACCTGAGAGAAACTGATGCAGTTGCATAACTCGACCTACCTGAGAGGAAGTACATGGGGTCCATGTAGCCAAACGATCCAACGACTCTCGTGGTGACATGCGAGCGCCAGTCAGCTATGCCCTTGGCCAGACCAAAGTCCGCCACCTTGGCTGTGAAGTCCTGCGGGAGGAGGGGGGGGGGGGAAGGGTGTGTTCTGGTTTTTAAGAATTAAAAAAAACATAACACATCCAGACCAAAGTCCGCCACCTTGGCTGTGAAGTCCTGCAGGAGGGGGGGAGGAGGGATGAGAGAGGGCGAGACGAGAGAAAGGGCTCAAGAGGAAGAATTTGCAAGTTTCAAAGGACTTGTTAGTCCCACCACCAGCTTAGTCAATGTCCAGCCTCACACATGTGAGCAGCACGTTGCTGGCGTTGAGGTCTCTGCGGATGTATGTATCCGAGCGAGTGCACGAGTCCTGCACCACATGCACCTGCACTGCGTCACATTTAAAAGAACCAGAGTAAATGCCCAGGCGTACCTGAGTCAAAAGCACGTTGCTGGCCTTGAGGTCTCGGTGGATGTATCTGAGCGAGTGCATGAACGCCACTGCCTGCGCCACCTCATGCGCCACCTTCAGCCTCACCGCCCATGGGAACGTCGTCAGCCCCTTCCTGCCTGCAAGCACCCAAACGCCAGCACAAAACGCCAAGGGAAGTCAGATGATGGTTCGCACCCCACCCCCTCCCCCCTGTTCGCCTCCCCCCCCCCTCCCCCACCGTTCCCCCCAAAAAACGATGCCGAGATGAGAACGGGGAGAAGTTGAGGATGAGAGAGAGTTTGAAATTAGACGGATTGAGAGAGTCTCACAGTTGGCGAGCAGCGTGTGCACGTCCCCGTTGGGCATGTACTCGTACACGAGCGCCTTGCAGGGGTGAGTGGCGTACGCCCGCAGCTCCACTATGTTGGCGTGCCTCACCGCGTCAAACGTCACCAGCTCAGTCTGACGGAGAGAGAGAGGGGAAGGAGGGAGAGAGAGCATTGAGGTCTCGAGGGATGGGAGGGAGGGAGGGAGGGAGGGAGGGAGGGAGAGGGAGAGGGGGAGGGAGGGAGAGGGAGAGGGAGAGGGAGGGAGAGGGAGGGAGGGAGAGGGAGGGAGGGAGAGGGAGGGAGGGAGGGAGAGGGAGGGAGGGAGGGAGAAAGAGGGAGGGAGGGAGAGGGAGGGAGGGAGGGGAGGGAGGGAGGGAGGGAGGGGAGGGAGGGAGAGGGAGTTAGGGATGAGGGAGGGAGGGAGAGGGAGGGAGGGAGGGAGGGAGGGAGGGAGAGGGAGGGAGGGAGGGAGGGAGGGAGGGAGGGGAGGGAGGAGGGAGGGAGGGAGGGAGGGAGGAGGGAGGGAGGGAGAGGGAGGGAGGGAGGGAGGGAGGGGAGGGAGGGAGGGAGAGGGAGGGAGGGAGGGAGGGAGGGAGGGAGGGAGGGAGGGAGGGAGGGAGGGAGGGAGAGGGAGGGAGGGAGGGAGGGAGAGGGAGGGAGGGAGGGGAGGGAGAGGGAGGGAGGGAGGGAGGGAGGGAGGGAGGGAGGGAGGAGGGAGGGAGGAGGAGGGAGGGAGGGAGGGAGGGAGGGAGGGAGGGAGGGAGAGGGAGGGAGGGAGGGAGGGAGGGAGGGAGGGAGGGAGGAGGGAGGGAGGGAGGGAGGGAGGGAGAGGAGGGAGGGAGGGGAGGGAGGGAGGGAGGGAGGGAGGGAGGAGGGAGGGAGGGAGGGAGGGAGGGGAGGGAGGGAGGGAGGGAGGGAGGGAGGGAGGGAGGGAGGGAGGGAGGGAGGGAGGGAGGGAGGGAGGGAGGGAGGGAGGGAGGGAGGGAGGGAGGGAGGGAGGGAGGGAGGGAGGGAGGGAGGGAGGGAGGGAGGGAGGGAGGGAGGGAGGGAGGGAGGGAGGGAGGGAGGGAGGGAGGGAGGGAGGAGGGAGGGAGGGAGGGAGGGAGGGAGGGAGGGAGGGAGGGAGGGAGGGAGGGAGGGAGGGAGGGAGGGAGGGGAAAGAGCAGGGCAGGTGGACGAGGAGAAACGGTTTGAGATGGAGAGGCATGCCACGGTTAAGAGCACGGGAAGGCAACGTACAAGGAACTCATAATCGCCCTGGAAGCTGTGTGGCGCGAGAACCTTCACTGCAACTGGCACCGGCTTGCACCCTCCAGCATCCCTCCTAGCCGTCCCATTCTCCCCAGGCCCCACCCCCCCTCCTCCTCCCTCACTCTCACCACCGTCGCTCCCGTGTTCACCGCTTCTCTCCCCATCCCCTCCCCCACTCTCACTCAACTCCCGAGAGCATCTGCAGCTGCTGCCAGGGGCAGCCCCGCACGGCCGCATCTCTCCCTTGTACACCTTTCCGAAGCCCCCCTCCCCCAGCACGGTTGAGAAGTTGCGGGTCACGCATTTGATCTCGTCTTCTGTCAGCCGTGGGATCGTCATATCTGCAGGCGGCTCCATCGAACGGCCGGATGCGCCCAATCCGTTGCGTCTGGTGCTGCCTGTGGACGACCCCGGGTCGGGCGAGCTGGTGAGAAGGCCGGAGCTTCCAGGAGCGGGAAACGATGATCCCGAGGTTCCTGATACTCCCAAGGTTCCGGATACTCCCGAGGTTCCGGATACTCCCGAGACTGCAGATACCCCCGGAGTTCCCGATGATCCTCCTGATGATACCGTTTCTCCTGACGCTCCTATTTCGCCCGACGCGGGTCCTGACGGTGGCCCGACTTTGGGTGGTCCGCCGTTGGGTGGTCCTCCGTTGGGTGGTTCGCCTTTGGGTGGTTGAGCGGACGGTGCAGGCTGCTGTGGCGCGACCGACGCCGAGCTGGTGGTCTCTTTCTCTGCAAAAGCGAAGGGATATCGGTGGTGAAAAAAGGGACTTCTGAATGTTTTAGCAACGATTGCTACGTGCAATGTATTGTGATGGTAATGAGGCGCATGACGAAGGAAAAAATCATGCCGGCCGAGCATCTTACGAGATATTAGCACATGGGACAATGCCGAGGAGAGGAGAAAACGGAAGTGAGTAAGGTCGATAAATCAAGCTCTTTATTGAAACTGCTACGTACGCTGCGACAGTTTGCTCTTGTCCAGACCCGCCGGCTTAGGCGAAGCATCTCGCGACGAAACGCAACCCATAAATAGATAACTTGCAGGTCAACTGCTATGCAACAATAATGTATTCAGGTGGACAAAAGGTGCGAGGAAATAGCACACAGCCGTTTTTTAAACTGGTACTGATTAAATCGTTGGGACGCGGCTGGAAACGAGCTAAGAGCAAAACTGGAAGTCTGTTCGGACTTCCAATGCAAGATGGGTCAACACGGCTGGCGGCAAGGACGGCAAGTAGACACTAGCAACAAGAACCTCTGCAGCTTGCAGCGTGTGCTACTAGGTCAGGAAGGGTACACAATTCTGTGCACGCCTCCTCCCTGACTGACCTTTCATTGCGGTTAGGAAGCGCTACATTGCGTCCGGTTCGCCGATCATTTTTCGATCTTCGCACTGTAAAAAGCTGGTAACCCGACAGCTACAGAAGCATCGAAATAGTCATGTAGCAGATCCGAGGGCAGGATCACACTCGAAGCAAAACGGGGAATCACAGCGCGTCCAACGTATCAGATCGCTTTACCCCAAATCCCACGAAATCAAACACGCTTCACCAGTTCGCCATGGCGAAAAACGTTGGGTGGACTCGAGTCGCGGTGTAGTGTGTGTTGGAAATTGCGAACGTCCTGGGAAGGTTGCTGGGTTTTCACGAAACGTACTGCGAAATGTCATGCTGTACAGCTGCAAATCGATACTCGAGATCGGAAGATGCAAATATGGAAAATGGCTAGATCGCGTACGCGGTCGATATCGCAGATCGTTTTTACTGAGACAGAATCGATATCCTTTTAAAAACAGACAATCGAAAAAATCTCGCGATCCTCCGAAACGGACGCAATGTAGCGCGCCCTAAGGGCGCGAGCAGCAGCCAGGCGAGAGCAGAAAGAGCCTCCTTTATTTTCTTTCCCTCTCTCCACTCGGTTCGACCAACGGCCCAAACGCACGTCTGATTCTGGACCATTCAAGCCGGATAAGGATTAGAAGTTGCGAAGGATATATAGTGTAGCCTCAATTACCTCTACTAAACAACTAGAAAACTCCTACAGAGTGCACATAGACTCAGAAAGGTCGAGGCAAAAGTTAGCCACTAAAATGGGCTGATCTTGATTTTTAATGGTGGCGATTATCAATCACACCATTCAAACCCAAGTGACAAGAACTCTATGCACATGCCCCGGTAGGAATTAAAATTGGGGGCAAATCGGACTAACACTTTCTAACAATGCTTTGAAGGACAAAACTAAGAGCATGAAATGTACCTGTATGATATGAGTTCCAGTATATTACCTCATTTACCGTATGACCAAGGGCTTGTGCTGTAAGTCATTAATTTGACTACTTGAGATAAAGATGGATTCTCAGGAGTTTTAAAGTGCTGCACAATGGAGGAGAGTGGAGGGCAACTAAGGGGGGATGAAGTGATGGGATTTGCACGATTGATCAATGGGTTATAACGAGTTATCCACTAAGGCTATCATTTTTCCTCATGTCGTAAGGCGACCGTTATGAGTTTCGGCAAACGACTCCAGTTTCAGGAATCCCAGTAGCGTTTCGTTAGCCGTCGATTGTTTCGTTCAAGATATCGCAAGCCTAGATGCTGCCGAACGTGACGCACGCATCCCTCCCTCCCAAGCTCCCACCAACAACAGCTCCCCCTTCCCTCCAATTCCCCAGAAATTGGCTGCTGCTCCATTTCTTCTGGGAGCATCTCCAAACCAAACCAGTTTTCGTGTTGGATTGGATCAGCCATATTCAGATCTGCTTCACTGACAGCAGGCAACAACCTCTGTAGGGCCCCATAGCACTAGGAGTTACTTGCAAGCAGGCCATTAATCTCGGTTTTCGCGTTTTTATCTTGGTCGACTAGTGTTTTTCCGCGGTGGCAAGATGGCTACAGCAAGCGCTCCTATCGTTTTGAAGGAGGCCCTCAGCGTGAGTGAAATAGACGGAAGGAAGGATTCGTGTAGATCGGCCAGGATTGCTCGATCGGCCCATCTCGTTCACACGCGTAATAGCGGTTTGCTTGAAGAAATTCAGGATTTTGAAGGTAGATGTTATCTTGACTCAACGACGTCTAAAATATGCGACATGGGTCCTTGCTCCCACCGTATATCCTTGTGCAGTTGACAAATCTGGGGGTCAATCAGCAGTTTATCTCCTTCACCCATGTCACGATGGAGTCCGATAAGTATATTTGTGTCAGGGAAACGGCTCCGTCGAACAGCGTCGTTATCATTGACATGGCGATGCCAATGCAGCCCTTGAGGAGGCCTATCACTGCTGACTCAGCACTGATGAATCCTGAAAGCAAAATCCTGGCACTCAAGGGTCAGTGCTCCCGCTAGCTCGTTTGTTTATATCCGGCTGTTTAGGGATCGGATTTCTCAGACATCTCGTTTCCACGTGCAGCTCTGATTCAAGGGACAACTCAAGATCACTTGCAGATTTTCAACATCGAGGCCAAGGCTAAAATCAAGTCGTACCAGATGCCAGAGCAGGTTAGCTCAGATTACAGTTGCAGCTTCCACCAGTTCGAAATACAATAGGCTTACTGACATACCACTTTCCATCTCTCCAGGTTGTGTACTGGAAGTGGATCTCCAACAAGGTCCTCGGCCTCGTGACCCTGACATCTGTCTACCACTGGTCAATCGAAGGTTGTAATCCCAGATACCATTCTGAGCATGGTTTTCTGACTAAAATTTAGCCTACTCATTCAGTTTTCCCTTGTATTATCCAAGGCACGTTATTGCAGCGAACGCGCCGTGCTGATCTTGTTCCTCGTCTTGGGTCCTCTTTGTTTCAATCAGGAGAGGGAGAGCCCGTCAAGATGTTTGAGCGGACGGCGAACCTGAACGGGAACCAGATTATCAACTACCGGAGTGATCCTTCTGGCAAATGGCTCGTTCTGATCGGCATCGCACCTGGTGCTCCTGAGGTACGCTAAGAACAACTTCATACGAGTAGTAAGTGATTATTAATGGCGAAACCATAAGTTGCGAACATGATTTGTGATACTGTTTTTTGGTTTATGTTGCTTTCAGCGTCCACAACTCGTCAAGGGAAACATGCAGCTCTTTTCCGTGGATCAGCAGAAGAGTCAGGCGTTGGAATCGCATGCAGCTGCGTTTGCCTCCGTGAAGGTTGGTTGAGCCAATCTTGATTTGCTTTGATTTCTCTTGCCGTTTAGAAGCTGTCGAACGCCAAGCGCTTTTCGACGTGTTGGAGTCCTAAGTATCTACTGGTCTATTTTTTACCGCGCAGGTGCCAGGAAATGACACGCCTTCTCTGGTCATTGCGTTTGCCACCAAGACTATCACTGGCGGGCAGCTAATCTCGAGGTTGCATATCATCGAGCTTGGCGCTCAACCAGGTCCGCGAATGTTTGCAGATGTTGAATGTCTCATATTAGATCAGGCGGTTCTGACATGTATTATCCTGTTCGATCCGTCGCAGGTCGCGTTCCCTTCACGAAGAAGCAGGCCGACCTGTTCTTCCCGCCAGATTTCGCTGATGACTTCCCAGTGGCCATGCAGGTGAGGGAGCTTGCATCAATGCTTTGTTTCTGCCGCTTTTTGTTCCCTCCCGTTCTTGCGATTAAGCTCTGTGTTTGCTCCTTCGTCGCCTCCCCTCGTCACGCTCCGCTCTCCTCCTCATATTCGTTCAGATTTCGGCCAAGTTCGGCCTGGTGTATGTCGTCACCAAGTTGGGTCTGCTCTTCGTGTACGACCTCGAGTCTGCCACAGCCGTGTACCGCAACCGCATCAGCCCGGACCCCATCTTCCTGGCCGCCGATGCTCCCAGCGTGGGCGGTTTCTACGCAGTGAATCGCCGCGGGCAGGTTCTCCTTGCCACGGTGAACGAGCAGACCATCGTTCCGTTCGTCAGCGGCCAGCTCAACAACCTCGAGCTCGCTATCAACCTCGCACGCCGCGGGAACCTGCCTGGTGCTGAAAATCTGGTATGTTGACGATCTGCACGTTAGTTTCGCGTCTGCTTGCTGACGCTCCTTGCCGTGAGTTGGACGCAATTTTCTTGCGCCTGAGCACACCACTCTCGGTTGTCCTCTCGTTCATTCTCCCTGTGCAGGTCGTGCAAAGATTCCAGGAGCTGTTCTCTCAGATGAAGTACAAAGAGGCTGCTGATCTGGCTGCTGAGTCTCCTCAGGGAATCCTTCGCACGCCTGAGACTGTTGCTAAGTTCCAGGTACAGCCGAACTGTAGTTAGGCGGGCTATCAAACAACCGTACACACGCAATGGAATCATTCTAGTGCGCACGCGAATACTGTGTCTGCACGTTCGTTCCCTCTGCATCTGTTCCTTTCGTAATACTGTGTTTTTTTTACATTTTATCGTGTTCTTCTTGCAGAGTGTCCCTGTGCAACCGGGGCAGACCTCCCCCTTGCTGCAGTACTTTGGCACGCTGCTCACCAAGGGCAAGCTGAACGCGTTTGAGTCGCTGGAGCTGTCGCGCCTGGTGGTGAATCAGAACAAGAAGAACCTGCTTGAGAACTGGCTCAACGAGGACAAGCTGGAGTGCAGCGAGGAGCTTGGAGACCTCGTCAAGGTGAGTGCGTAGTGACTTGTAGTGCGTCAGGACGCTGGAATGCGTGGTGACCTGAGGCGGGGCGCATTGCATTGCGGCATGGCAGGCAAGCGAAAAGAACCAAGATAGTGCACCCAGGACTAAACAGAAAAAGTCATATTCAAAGCTATTCTCAAACCACCCCGTTTCTAATTTATTGGGAAGGAATTTAAAGCAATTGGGCCGCCTAAGGTCGGTGATGTCAACGCCTGAGTGGCTAACTTCTGTGTTCTCCTCATCTTGTCACACAGCCTGTGGATGGCGACATGGCACTGAAGGTGTACATCAAGTGCCGCGCCACGCCCAAGGTTATTGCGTCCTTTGCTGAGCGCGGCGAGTTTGACAAGATCCTCGTGTACTCCAAGCAAGTCGGGTACAACCCGGACTACCTCTGGCTCATGCAGACCATGCTGCGGAGCAACCCGCAGGTGCGTGACGGCGCACACAAGATTATTAGAGAATTTCCCATGTCTCTCTGTCTCTCCTGCTGGCGTCTCTGCTTCTGGTAACCCGCAGCTTGTTCGCTCACCTGGGGTTGCTCCTGTTTGAGTTTGCTGATGGTGGTTTGTTTCAGGGGGCGCTGAACTTCGCCCTGATGATGGCGCAAATGGAGGGAGGCTCGCCGCTTGACTTCAACACCATCACTGACCTCTTCCTCCAGGTACGTGGTTGACTCAGCTTCCACACTCGCCTCATCCGCGGTCTTGTG